AGACACACACAGACACACACAGACACACACAGAGACACACAGACACGCAGACACGCAAACACGCAGACGCCTGTTTCATCCAGAGGATCCAGGTCTTCGCCAACGGCCAGCGCTGCGACGACATTAACTACTACGGTCGCACCGTGGCCGTGCATGACCTGCTGAAGGGCCGCGAGTACAACCAGAACAAGGCCGTGGAGGGCTTCGACGAGGTGAACAACTCTCGGACGCCCCGCGCGGTGCACCAGAGCGGCATTCCAAGGTCCGAGACGGATCTTTCCATCTCCTCCTGGGAGCAAGAAATCCCCGAGACGGTTCTTCCCGCCTCCAGCCCGGTGAGCGCCACTACCTAGGAGACCTTTATTCCCAGGTCCGAGACGGATCTTCCAGCCTCCAGCCCGGTGAGCGCCTCTACCTAGGGGGCTTTTATTCCAAAGGTCCGAGACGGATCTTTCCATCTCCTGGGAGCAAGAAATCCCCGAGACGGATCTTCCAGCCTCCAGCCCGGTGAGCGCCTCTACCTAGGGGGCTTTTATTCCAAAGGTCCGAGACGGATCTTTCCATCTCCTGGGAGCAAGAAATCCCCGAGACGGTTCTTCCCGCCTCCAGCCCGGTGAGCGCCACTACCTAGGAGACCTTTATTCCCAGGTCCGAGACGGATCTTCCAGCCTCCAGCCCGGTGAGCGCCTCTACCTAGGGGGCTTTTACTCCAAAGGTCCGAGACGGATCTTTTCCATCTCCTGGGAGCAAGAAATCCCCGAGACGGTTCTTCCCGCCTCCAGCCCGGTGAGCGCCACTACCTAGGAGACCTTTATTCCCAGGTCCGAGATTCTTCCAGCCTCCAGCCCGGTTAGCGCCTCTACCTAGGGGGCTTTTATTCCAAAGGTCCGAGACGGATCTTTCCATCTCCTGGGAGCAAGAAATCCCTGAGACGGTTCTTCCCGCCTCCAGCCCGGTGAGCGCCACTACCTAGGAGACCTTTATTCCCAGGTCCGAGACGGATCTTCCAGCCTCCAGCCCGGTGAGCGCCTCTACCTAGGGGGCTTTTATTCCAAAGGTCCGAGACGGATCTTTTCCATCTCCTGGGAGCAAGAAATCCCCGAGACGGTTCTTCCCGCCTCCAGCCCGGTGAGCGCCACTACCTAGGAGACCTTTATTCCCAGGTCCAAGACGGTTCTTCCAGCCTCCAACCCGGTGAGCGCCTCTACCTAGGGGGCTCACCGGGCTGGAGGCGGGAAGAACCGTCTCGCAGGAGATGGAAAGATCCGTCTCGGACCTTTGGAATAAAAGCCACTACCTAGGAGACCTTTATTCCCAGGTCCGAGACGGTTCTTCCCGCCTCCAGCCCGGTGAGCGCCACTACCTAGGAGGCCTTTATTCCCAGGTCCGAGACGGTTCTTCCCGCCTCCAGCCCGGTGAGGCTAGGAGACCTTTATTCCCAGGTCCGAGACGGATCATAGTGGAGAGACGGATCTAAAAAAAACATACCCTGGTCCGAGACGGATCATTGTGGAGACGGATCTTGTCGCCTCCAGCCCGGTGACTGCCTCTCCTTAGAGTAGGAAATTACCCTGGCCCGAGACGGATCATTGTGGAGAGACGGACCTTTCCACCTCTAGCCCGGTGAGCGCCACTACCTAGGAGACCTTTATTCCCAGGTCCGAGACGGATCATAGTGGAGAGACGGATCATAGTGGAGAGACGGATCATAGTGGAGAGACGGATCTAAAAAAAACATGCCCTAGTCCGAGACGGATCATTGTGGAGACGGTTCTTCCCGCCTCCAGCCCGGTGAGCGCCACTACCTAGGAGACCTTTATTCCCAGGTACCTAGGAGACCTTTATTCCCAGGTCCGAGACGGATCATAGTGGAGAGACGGATCATAGTGGAGAGACGGATCTAAAAAAAAAACATACCCTGGTCCGAGACGGATCATTGTGGAGACGGACCTTTCCGCCTCCAGCCCGGTGAGCGCCACTAACCTAGGAGACCTTTATTCCCAGGTCCGAGACGGATCATAGTGGAGAGACGGATCATAGTGGAGAAACGGATCTAAAAAAAACATACCCTGGTCCGAGACGGATCATTGTGGAGACGGACCTTTCCGCCTCCAGCCCGGTGAGCGCCACTACCTAGGAGACCTTTATTCCCAGGTCCGAGACGGATCACGGATCTAAAAAAAACATACCCTGGTCCGAGACGGATCATTGTGGAGACGGATCTAGGGAATTATTTGTTCGCATGGACCGAAGCGTTTGAGTGGATCGAGCATGGCTTGCACCGTCGCCATGCAGCACGCATTGACCGAGAGCCTGCTGGTCACCATGGAGGAGTGGGCAGCAGCCTGCCGCCCTTCCGGATGCGCTGGAGGCGGTGGAGCGCATCTCCGAGCTGCTGGATCTGAGCGGCTTGTTCTCGGCGCTGCTGCTGCATCTTCGCAGAGACAGGAAGAGCCTGTCCTACACGGGGGGCATCCGAGTCAGCGGACTTGACTTCGGGTTCCCCTGCCCCTACGGCGCTTTGGAGTCCTACCTCACGAAGGACGGGTGCCGCGTGATGACCAGATACTGGCTGGCTCCCGAGCCCTCGCTTGGGCACCTCAACGCCGACAACACGCAGACACACACACACACACAGACACACAGACACACAGACACGCAAACACGCAAACACGCAGACACGCAGACACACAAACACGCAGACACGCAGACACACGCAGACAGACACAGACAGACGCAGACAGACGCAGACAGACACAGACAGACACAGACAGACACAGACAGACACAGACAGACACAGACAGACACAGACAGACACAGACAGACACAGACAGACACAGACAGACACAGACAGACACAGACAGACACAGACAGACACAGACAGACACAGACACAGACAGATAGACAGACAGACAGACAGACAGAGAGAGCCAGAGACAGAGACAGACAGACGCACACACACACACAGACACACACGCACAGACACACACACAGACAGACACACACACACAGACACACACAGACACACACAGACACACACACACACACAGACACACACAGACACACACACACACACACACACAGACACACACAGACACACACACAGACACACACACACACACACAGACATAGACACGCAAACATGCAAACACGCAGACACACACAGACACACACACACACACAGACACACACAGACACACACACACAGACGCACAAACACACAGACACACAGACACATACACACACACACACACACACACACACACACACACACACACACACACACACACACACCCACGCGCGCGCGCGCGCGCCTGTGCAGCTGGTAAGGGAAATGGCCAACAGATTCGAGCAGACAGCGCCAAAAATGATGTTCACCAACCCTAAGCCACAACCTCCACATGGAGCATACAGTTGCTTGAGAGCCAATGGATAAAGGTCCAATTGGTAAAGGTTGGGGGATCATTATGCTTTGAGTCGGTGTAAGGCAGTTTTGCTGCAAAAACTCATAGCCCTTGTTTCTCTTTCATGTTAAATTAAACCCTTCACACAAACACAACCAGCGTCCCCCCACTGGACAACAAAGGGACGCGTTTGTCGGTCAAGTCCGCATTGAAATGCAAATGCTTGTAGCATCTTGCCACTTTTCAGACAACCAACACGCAGTCACAGGCTTTCTCACACGTCCTTTGTCAGGCCAAAATGCGGAGGTCTATGAGCAGGCGACTGGCTGAAGTATTAGGTAACATCCCCACATGTCTTCCGCAACTCGACCATTGACTCTGGTCCCATCGTTTGTCAGCTAGATAGATCGGCCCCAAAGAACCAAGTCCAAAACGGGTAAGAGAGAGAGAGAGAGAGAGAGAGAGAGAGAGAGAGAGAGAGAGAGAGAGAGAGAGAGAGAGAGAGAGAGAGTGTTGGCGCCGGGCAAGTAGTACACGGAGCTAGATCCGAAATCATGATTTAAGTTGGTTTCACATACCCCGCAGCCAATTTGAAATCATTTTGGCCCTGTTGGTCAAGAGGTCTTTGATGACTCTGCCAAGGTTGCATGGATGCTGGGGCCTCAGAATGTGGGATTCGGCACAGCGCTCACAGTCAGATGGTGATCAAGCTGCTCAAAATTTGGGTGTGTTTGTTTGAGAACCCTCCTTGTTAGGGGTTTTTGGAAGGAAACCGGGAACCCAAATTGAAACCATCCATCTTGGGGTTTTCCCTTTTGGAGAGAAACCCATACCCCCCCAGATGCTTCGGCCAACTTGTTGCAGCTGATGGGACCTTGGCGCAGCCACATAAGTCTTCCAAAAAGCGAGACTGGGTGGTTCGGGCTCCCAGCCATGCCATTGGCATTAGCCCTGAGGATTAAGACGACCCCGGGACAGCCGAAGGAGCAGTGAGAGAGGCTCGGCGTGAGGAATGGATCAGTGCAGAGGTGGGTTTGTTCACACCAGTTGGCTCATATTTTGGTTTACTGCATTGGAACATGTTTGCGATAGTGCCCCGCCTGACAACTCCACTGCGATATGCACTTTCGAAGCAAGAAGACCTGACGGAGAGGTGCAGTGAGGTGCAGTATGCAAACCGCCTTCACAAAAGCGCTGGAATCCGCCGAGTTTGCTGCGTGATCCTGAAGGGGTGCATGTCGCCACGGCAATGCAAGGAGGCAGACACGAGAGTGATGATAGCAAGCTTTCCTGCGAATGGAGTTCACCCATGAGTTGGGAGTGTCTGTTTCTAGGGGCTCCAAAAATCGGGGTGGTTTTGGTTACCTTCAAAGCCACAAAACGAGGGGTACCCCGAAAACAGGCGCGCCGGTTGCTTGACTCAAGTCCGGGTCCGAACCCCACGCCCTCGGCTCAAGCTGCATGTGAGGCCTGAGAAGAAGTTTCATAACGGAGCCCGCAGGACGTCGCGTTTCATGAAGGAATCCTTCAGAGTTGGTCCTCCCCATTTTTTCAGCAGATTCGAAGATGAATGCCACGCCACATCGCAAGAGGGTGGCTTGCGACACTTTTTGCTTGCACCCAATTGAGTTGCCACTCTCTCGTGATGCCATCATTTACTTCTCTCAGCGCCGCAGCGCGCGGCGGCTGCCGGTGGCTGCGCCTGACTCGTGAGGCTGCCACTGTTCTGGGCTGCAGGGAGTGCCCCCTGAAAGTGTAGCAGTCGACAGGTCGCACAGGGAGTTGCTGATTAGGATTGCATGTATTCGTCTCCTTGCACACTGCAAGTGTGAATTGAGTGTTCACCCTTCACCCCTTGGCGTGTCCACCTCTCACAACGCGAATGCCAGCAATGAAGGGGCAACTTTATTCCTTCAGGGAACCGCTGATTATATAATATAAGCAAGGGGCAGGTCACCTGCCCCCAGGCCAGACACCGCTTGGGAGGTCCCACAACCCACTCCACAAGTTCGGCCATTGCTGTTCCTTTTCCACTTGGTGTAGTCATGTGTACTCGTTGGATCATAGTAAGGCCTCTATTGGCACGTCTCATGGGATATGGAATCCCCGAAATGGGTGTTTTCCCTGAAGAACAACCACCCAAAAGGAAGCATCAACATGCTTGCATACCTACATAAGCATCTTGCGAACCAAAAAGGTCAATAGGTGTTGGGCGCCCCAGATCCGACGCTGAACCATGCAAAACTGAGCCAGACACTTGGGTGTGCTTGCTTTGCAGGGTGCTCGTTTTGGATTTGATTGGTAAAATGACCAGCAAAGGACATCACCCATTTGTGTGCTAGGGCTCCCCTTTTGTATATCTATGTTTATCTTTATGTATATATTGTTCAGCCCTACGCCTGGCGAATCTGGCGACCCAGGCATTCTGCAACGCATCAGGCTCCAACCCTAAGCCTAACCTGCCGCAACCACCGGTAGGCGCAGGAAGGCGCATCTGCATTGGAGGAGCCGAGTGGGTGCTTGGCCACCTGGGTGTCTCTTTGCGACGGTGTCTTTTTGGTGGTTGTAAAGGGAACAGAACACCTGGTGAGAGAACCTAGTGGGATTTGTAATCCCAACTGCTAATGTCCAAGCTCGGAAGTTGGATGCTGGGACAGTTTGAACAGCACTAGGACCTCAGTAGTGCCTTTTTACCAACTTGTTTTGGGGAGGGTTCCCACCAAAAGGAAAGGCCACCATTTTTTTTGGGGGGGGGTCCCCAAAAAAGGAGACACCCATGTCAAGAACGTGACGCCAAGCAGGGTGTTTCAGCCTGTACACTTCGAATATGGCCTCCGAGGTGTCCTCTGGTCACTGCGAGCCACCTGTCTCACGTGCACCAATATCCCAATTGTTTTTCTCTTCTGAGTGCCCGCTCACTTGTGTATATATATATATATATACATATTTGGATAAGTCAAGGTCAGCTTTATTTTGAGTTTGCCTTTTGACAATTTGTGTGAGAATTGTCAAGTAGTCGGCTCAAACCGTCCTACCTCCAAGAGGTAAGGTACCCGCCCCCCCCCCCCAAAAAAAGAAAAAAGAAAAAGCGGCAGTTCCTTCCCCAGACGTATTCCCTTTGGGTGCAAAATCATGTCAGGGCTTCGAAAGATTGACCTATACGGGGTCCTTTGGCTGCAAGTGAGGTACCTCGCCTAGTTCCAGTGCTCTTCCTCGTCACCTTAGGAGGGCAGACACTTCTTTAAGCGGACAATCAAGCCGCCCCCAACTCTAACCTCCGCCTGTGCAGAGGGCGAGGGTTGTCCTTTTAAAACCATTTTGCTGACAAAATGAAGGGCCAGCGAAGGGTGGTTGAACGGATTCCTATTCGAGGCAAATCTCGTTTTGGCGAAGCAAACCCTTCACCTAGAAGGTAAAGGGTACACGAGCTCAGGCCCCATGAAGTACAAGAGTGCCAAGACCGAAATGCGTTTCTTCAAAAGATGGCCAAAAGGTCATGAGACTGCTTAAAGTTTCCAGACCGCCAATGCGCCAGCCGGCTCCATTCCCGGTGCGTGTGTGCGTATGCGCGTTTTGTTTCTGTGTTGCTGAAGACAAAACAGAGGAAAAGATCCACCCCACCGCATGAGGCCGATGTCGGTCGTAGCGCGTTGCGCCCGCTCGAGTCTTCGAGTCTCGGAGGAGGGTGCAGTGCACATCGCGGCCCGGGGAGGGCACACGGAAGTGCTGCGGCACCTTCTGCAGGCGAGATGCGCTCGCTGGCAGTCGGCCGAGAGAAATTTGCGGCGCTTTGTTTCTCCGCTTTCGGCTTTGTTGTCTTGGTGGGGTTTGGCTTGGCTTGGCTTGGTCTGGCTTGTTTTGGTTGAGCTTTGTTGGTTTTGGTTCGTGCTTTGTCGTTTGCCGGGTGAGGCGAGGAGTTGTGAAGAGGCCCAAAACGCCCCCTTCGAAGGGAGCCAAAGACTAGTGGGTTGAAGATGTTATAATGGTAAGTTGGTTCAAGCCTTAGGTCAACGGAACTGATGGCTCATGTTTCTGGCCCGCAACCACACCATCCCTCCAAAGCATACTGAGTTGGAGGTGGCTCAAAATTACAGAG